GTTGAAACATGTTTCAAGAAGCATCGTGTGTGAGATCTTTGGGACTTTCGGAGCAGATGCAGCTTGAGGGAGATGCATGTGGGTGCTGTGTATGCAATGATGAATTGAGGGTGTGGTGGATTGGACGGTGATTGATAGATGTGGGTTGCCGGATTGTGAGGATGCTATGGGCGTTTGCCATTGCCATTGAGGCGTGCTTTAAGCTTTGTGAATGATGTCCAAGATTATTCATTCAGTGTTGACTCGGAGGAGATTATGGAAGTGAGCAGGTGCTGAGCATTCGGGAGAGGTTCGGGATGCCGAGATACCATCGGGCCGGGTCAGGCATACTAGTATGAATCGTGGTAAGCCAACACCGTCAACGCCAAACGTGAGGGCCTTCAATGCAAACTAATCACCTCGTTTAAATACAAGTCAGGACTCAGTATCTACGATTCTCAAAGGGACCGAAATCTCGTTCGTCAAAGCCAGCTCATCCCCGCATCAAAGTGCTTGCATGAAGGTGCAGTGGCGTGGGATTGACTTTGCAGCAAAGGCCTAAAACAGATACCAATTACATTTCCGAAACAGGAAATGAGTTGAGTTCGCGACTTGCAGGGGCGTGAGGACGTGAGGGTGGATCGTATGTGGTTTAGTCGGGCACGAAGTCACGATGGAGAAGGGTACTGATGGAAGATTTCGAGTGAGAAGAAGAATTGATATCAGATTCAATGCATAACAGAGGAGGATTGCTTTCAAAGCAGTCAAAGTGAGTCTATTCAACCGATGCCATCTGCTTCCATGCCCATCTTGGGTGACGTTTTCCCGGGGTTGGAAAGCGGTAGCGGGAAACCCGTTAACGGTTAACTGAACAATAACCCTAACATACCCCAACCCATCTCATTCCCCAAGCAATGCCATTAGGGCCGGATCGTTCACCTTATCCACCATTAAACACATATGTATCCGATAACCTATGTAAATTAATCCGCTATCAACCCTTATTTTAGCTCAATCTCACCATTGCCATGCCGTACGCATTTTCGAACTGTCATTCCTGCAGATTCCCTCCAAATTCCTTCGTCAGCATCCACGGCATTACCCGTGTATGCAGCCTGCCGTGCCTTATTGCCCGACTGCCTTTACGAAGGTACCTTTCTACACCACAATATTGATGTACCGGATTCAAAGAATGGACCCTATGGTAGCGCTAAGGCTCACTTGTACACTAACTCTGGCACTCTCGAGACGCTCATATGTAAAGATAGGAGTAAGTCCCGTCTTGGTGTTAAGGCACAAGGAACTTGCAATGTGCAGTGCCAGCAGGATATTATATTAGAGTGTAGTTGTGAGGTACAAAGATGGCCTTACCCTATGTGATTAAGACGATATAAGGCCTTCGGAGAGCACTAGCTGGAAGTAGGATTATCTTTGACTTCATATTCTCATTCGCATTCAGCATCGCATTAGCATATTTCATTCGCATACGGCCAGCATACCTCAATTCAACACTTTCAAACACGGAATATTCCTTTCATATCCATTCGATCAGATCATTCAGACCTTTGTTCTTTACTACCTTGCGATTCTTTACTGTATTTCCACCTGATCCGGCATTATGGTCCACTTCAACCTCATCACCATCTCGACCCTAGCCTTGGCAGCCCTCATATCCGCAACAACAACCTCACCAACCCTCTCCGCCGCCACATCCGTCACCACCTCTTCAACCACGACCGTCAGAACCGCATCCTCAACCCCCTCTCCCCCAATCACCTCCGCCGCCACCTCGACCTCACTCTCAACCCCAACTTCAACCACCACCATCCCCCCTGCCAAACCCACTCCTCCAAAGCATCTCCACACCCACCCCAACATACCCCTCGCCACCATCCTCCACCACCTCCTCACTCACCTCGCCAAACCAAAACCCACCCGCAAAGCCAACCCCGCCCACCTCCTCGCCTGCCTCCTCGACCACCACTCCCCGGTCAAACTTCCAGTTAAGCCCCCCGGCGGTCTCCTCCGCCATCCCGGTAAGATCACCAACAAGAAGAATCGACAACGGCTCGTGGAGTTGTATATTACTGCTCTCAAAGCCCGCATCTTGAAGGGCAAGGAGGCGAAGAAGAAGCTGAAGATTATTGGTGGTTTGATTGGGAAGGGGAGGAGAAGCTTGGAGTTTGAGGAGGAGGATGGGAAGGGGGCGAATGTTTTGGAGATGGGGCAGGAGTGGAATGCGGATATTCTCGGCGGGTTGAGGGCCCGTGGGTTTGACGGGGATGAGGAGGAGGATAAGGGTGCTAATGTCTATTCCTTCGGCCAGGACTTCAACACTGACCTCCTCGCCAGCCTCGGCACCCGCGCTGTCGACGACGACGAAGATGAAGATAAGGGAGCGAACGTTCTTGAGATGGGACAGGAGTGGAATGGTGATATCATCAAAGGCCTCCTAGCTCGAAGCGTGGAGATGGTGGAGAGGGAGGCTCGAGCTCTCAGCTACGATACGGAGACAGACAGCCGATATCCCAAGCGGCACCCTAGTACTATCACCTACGACGACGAAGACGGAGATAAGGGGGCGAATGTTTACTCCTTCGGGCAGGAGTTCAACAACGATATGCTCAACAGCCTCGGTGCTCGTTCACCACAAGATTTGGATGAGGAGGAAGATAAGGGGGCGAATGTGTTGGAGTTCGGACAGGAGTATAATGCGGATATCTTGAGCAATCTCAACGCCCGTTCCCCGCTCGAATCGGAGGAGGATGAGGTCAAGGAGGCGTTGTATGACTGGGTGAAGAAGGTGCACGGCCGGAGCGTTGAGGCGGATGATGACGAGGAGAAGCAGGCGTTTTGGGGGATCTTCAAGAGTGTGTTTGGGGGGATATTCGGGAAGAGGGATGTTGATGTGGAGGATGAGTAGGAGGGGGAAAGCTGGTGCTTCGAGGGTGGGTGTAGAATGGGGGATGATGGATGCTACCGTGTAGTGGTTGTGGAGGTGATAATTTACTTGCCATCAAACTTTGCTGCACTTTGCTTGCTGAGATCCATTCGTAACTTGGTTCCACCTCCCGCCTCGAGACCTGTTGTTATCAGACACGGCCACTTTACATGCACTTCCTCTACTCCGTCCTAGAAACTAGCATATGCAATCTCTCTGTGCTTGAATCCAAGGCAATCTCATGTGTCAAGCGCAGCGAACGGCGAAGATACATGCATTTACGTTGTATATGTGCAAGGCCTTTAGAGTGTGAGCGTTTTGCGGAAAACCTTGAAGTCTCCGTGGATCAACCGGCAATCGATTGGAGCTCGGGAACTTTCCCAGGCTTTGAACCATGCGTCAATTGTCGTCAAGCTCGCCAGTTTGGATGGTGATAACGATAAACGTACATCATGCCATGCATATGATGTGCGGCTTGGCCATGGTGTAGCATGGCGCGGAGTATAACTTCCATGGCTCATGAGCTCATACTAGGATCACTTGAGCTGAATTTGAAGCCTTTAGGGAAGATGACACAGTATCCTCTCAGTAGGAAACTATATAAAGCAATGAGACCCGCCCCTTCCTGGAATTCCTTCCGAAATTTTGCATCCTACTGAGCAGTACAGAGGCGTCACCCGTCAGCGAGGTGTACGCTTCGGACCGATCAGATCGTACCTCGAACTCGACTTGGTAACTCGTTACTTGCAGCAACTCGATGAGGGGTGACGCCCTGTATGTGTGCCGTCCTACCCCCCAGAAAGCGACCGCCCGGTCCACTCCTCGTTGGCGCTAGATTTCCCATCTTGCTCTGATTATTGACAAAAGAGTTCGTCGCCCCATGGTGGGCGGACCATGGGAAACTACATCTCTATTTCGTCCAAAGTCCAATTTTCATTTTAATCACACCCCCTTAACATTTTAAATTCAATTTTTTTTGTTTTGTATTTTCATTTTTGACGGAGTTGACCGGGCGTTCCTTACGAGGGGTTGTGGGCCCCTCGCTTCAACAGGCCCCGGCCGTTTCCGTCTTGAAGCCCTGCGGGGGATGGCTACCAGACGTGGGCGATGTCCATATCATTTCCTCATGATAGGATTCGAACGCTGGTCAGGTACTCTGAGAGCACCGGAAGTAGAAACTGGGTGCTTCGAGTCTTCCTGCTACGCCATCCACAACCTATGGGCGACGTATCTCCCCGGAGTTACTGCATGAATCAATTCCTCACGTCCACAAATGGCGAGGAGACAGACAAAATACTCCACTGGCAGTAAATGTTCGTGTATGTAAGTAACCAATCCCAAGTCTCAGGAGCTCGGCTAATACTGAGGAACAGCATCATGGCACTTGATCGTCTCTATTATCTTTATCGAATTCGAACTCGGCAACAAACGAGCTCACTCTTGGAGATTCGCCCGGGACTACCTTCAGCTTTTAGAAGGCGATCTGGACAACAAGAGTTCACCAGAGAGATGTAGTTAACCCGAAAATGGAGAGCTCGACTCACCAAACTACAATCCATCCTCGAGCCTCTCGACCTCACTGTCCCCTCCGCATCGTAAACGCCGGCTTGTCGAAGATGCATACAGTATCATCTACACCATCGACAACCGTTTCAGATAGACCCATCAAGTTTCCGATCTTGATTCTCCCTACCCATCATTGCAGTAGCAATGGCATTATCGAGATGTCGAGCATGTCATGATCATGCCTTAGCGCCCTGAGCAGATCGGGCTTCTGCGAGTTACACTTGTGCTACTCTCACCATGTTCCTGGACACATTGACATCGATGCATCAATTGCAGGACACTCGAGGAGAGGCCGCCCATTCCCAGGGTCCATATCATCTTCGATCCCGTATATAAGGCTCCAGATGTTCCTCAGTTATCAGTATCAACAACAGTACAGCTTCATCATTTCCTCCTCACTCCGCAATTGCTCCGGTAGCAGTTCAACCCACCCCACCACAAATTACCACTCGTCCACTCTTCAACTCCGTACCAATCTCAAAATTCCACCCCTCCACCTACCACAACCTCCACAATGATCCCCGCCCGCCTCACCACCCTACTCCCTTTCCTCCTCCTCCTCACCGCAACCGCCTCCCCCCTCCCCCACCCCCCCCCCCCCCTCGAAACCAGAGAATTCACCGGCCTCGGCCCATCCCCCCTCGGCCTAATCGCCACACGCCCCGCCCCTCTCGACCCTCTCCTCGACCTCATCTATCGCCACGCAAAGAACAAGGCCGCGCCCGAGGCGCCCAGCCCAGCACCGGCGCCTCCGGGAAATGCAGAGGAGTCGCGCAAGCTCATGGAGAAATGGGGAAAGTTTATTGCGGATTTTTTCCGGAGAGGATAGTGAGGGTAGGCGGAGGGAGGTATAGAGGAGGGGAGCTGGGGATGTGGGGAGTTGCTTCGATTGTACTGTACTGTGGCGTTGGGGGGGAGAGCTAGAGTTGGGTGGCTTGGTATCGTAGTTCTTGGTCAACATGCGAGGAATTGGATGGGAGGATCAACTTATCGATTTCTTTAGCAGCGCTTGTTGCTGTGTTGAGGATGTGGACCTGCAAGTTTCGGACGGTCGAACAAGTGTGCATTACGGGTGAAGCATGTCAGGCTCCTATCTCAGGCAAAGCATTTGTTCTCCTGCTGAGCTCATGAGGCTCATCCACGACCGATTTCAGGCCCATCGACATGTTCGTATCGCATCGAAGCACCATATGGCCATTCAAACACACAAACGGGAATCCAAGAATGCAGTAACAGAAAACATTGAATAAAATATGTACAAATCCATCTCCACATCCACGGTCCTTGACCGCCATCGACAATCCTTTTCCCACCCCAAAACAAAAGAAACCCCCACCCTCAGCCCCTCTATGGGTACACAACCTTGCAGATATTGGTAGCAGTCGTCTCCCACTTAGCATAAGCATCCGGATACGCACTCTTCTGGACACTCTGTGCCGCCTTCGCAATCGTCATGCTCTGCCATCCGCTGACGGCCTTGAGCGCCGTGAAGAACTTCTGCGAGGAAGTCTTGGGGTCCATGCAGTCCTTGACGGTACCCCAGTACTTTGGTCTCTGCTGGAACAGTCCAACAGAATCATGATCCGATCCAGCACCGTCGTGTGGGTAGTTGTATGACTCTGGGATACCAGTGTTGGCGAGGACTCTCATGGTCGATTCCTGCATGGCGGTGGCCATGGCGACCTTGCAGCCACGGTTGCCAACGGCGTTGGTCTTTGCGACGGAGGCGATGACGCGGGCGTGGGCGGATTGTTTGGCGTTGAGGCCGGGGAGGTTGGAGCCGCCGTCGCCGCCGCCGGAGGAGGTCACGCAGCATTTGATGTCGGAGGGGCCGGGGCAGTAGCCGGAGTAGTAGGTGCCGGAGCAGGACTTGCCGGTGTTGCGGCAGATGCCGGAACCGGAGGGGGTGGAGCAGGTGGAGGGGACGCAGCACTTGACGGATGAGGGGTCGTTGGGGCATTTGCCGACGACGTTGAAACCGCCTGGGAGAGGTTAGTATGGCTGGTCTTTGTAGATCGAATTCGCTCGATGGCTATCGATAGAGTGCTGCGCAAGCTTGGGTGGAAGAGGAAAACGTACCAGTGCAGTTGGCGTCAGTCTTGCAGGTACCAGTGCCGTAGCCGGAGGCACAGCTGTCACCGATGGCGGCCATGCCAGTGGCGGCGAGGGAGAGGAGGGAGAGGACGACAGAGAGCTTCATTTTGGTTGGTTGTTCTGGAGAGCGGTGCTTGTTTTATCGGATGGGATGAGGATGAGGATGAGACCGTTGAGGGGAGTTGGCTGGCTCTTATATCCATCCACCTGAGGCTCTGATCAGGCTGATCCTCTCGAGTAATGAGATCTCGAATGACGGAGTCCCCGTAGTAGCATTCTCGGACACTTCCGAATGCCCTTGCGCCACTAGAGGTTGTCAGTTGATGATCCGAGGGTCCTTCCTCTTTCCCATCCCAGGGTACCTGCATAAGTCCCACCATTCCAACTCGTCTCCAGAAAGACGAGATAACCCAATTAGGACGTCGCCGACCGCCCATCAACCAACAAACGTCCCATTCGCAAGTCCCTCGACGCCATTCGGCATCTTGGAAGCCCTCGTAACTCGACAATCAAGTCTAGCGCCAACCCGTAAAGTTGACAGGACGTTATCGACAGCCCTTGGCGGTATGAGCTGCAGGTGGTTGCACAAGCTTAAAATTGGCGGGGAGTCCGAAAGATGCCTGAGATGCACGGTTACACCCACTCAAGGGACCGTCTCGAAAAGGACTGGGATTCCTTCGGTTCTCGACGTCGGAAACTGGTTGGCCTGTGAATTGACGCCTGGAACGGAGGCATCGATCCGTGGTTGGAGTAACATGGGCATGTCCGGATACCGGCGTTGATTTGTGGGGAAGGAGCTTGCTGAAAGTGCAGCCCGTATCGATAAGCTGGCGCTCTCGGGATCTTGAAGAAGCAAATCGAGGATAGTGACCTATCGTGGCGTGGGCAGAGGTGGTTCGGAAGATTTCGTAAACCCGAAAGTCCTCACTAGCTGAATGGAACATCGGAGGAGCCGAATGGGCCTTCTCGAGTGGCAGCATTCGTAAATCTCCATCAACGTGCGATTATCGTGAGCCAACAGAAACTCACGATCATCCCAACGTGACCGCTAAGGTTCTTCTCGAATGCAGTTATCCTTCCAAGCTGAGCTGCAAGGGTCCTCCAAGAAACCTCAACATATGTCAATCCCACCAGCAGATCCCTCACGAGGTCGAAACGAGTGGATCGAAGACATCAATCCTGCTATTTCGATTAGAAGTGCAAAGGAATCACGTTTAGAAGGGACCTTACAGCATGCCTTGAATCTCACTTTGATGTTTCGTCCTTGCGCCCAAACCTCGATCCTTCAATCTGCCCGATCTTCTTCGGATGCCCCACAGCCGAGTCCTGTATCGTTGAGGCCTCGGCCTGTCCGTACCCGATCACAGCTCGGCCCATACATATCGCCACCACCAGGATGCGTTCCGATCGGCAGCAACTCCACATTTTGGTTACTCGATTCTCTCCTCGGATCAGCAACCGCAAGAGTTAAGGTTCCCTTCCCGAAATTCAGGAACCGCTAGAAGCTCGCTAGTTTCGCCAGATCAGCGCCATCCTAGCGGTTTGGGGTAGGTGGGACAAACCATAATCGTCGCTAACTTTAGCGGCGCTACTTTAAAGGGACGTCCAAGAAGCCGTTGTGCTACCGGAGCGGGGCCGGTGCGAGGAGCGGCGATAGAGGCGGCTTGGGGATCTCCGTTGAGAGAGTCGAACCTGTGGATAAACATGGTGCTTTCCGAGGTACCAGCTGTGAAGTTGAGTGCATTTTGAGGCCGAAGAGAATAGACGAGGTGGATAAACATGGTGCTGCCGAGGTTGGCTTCGCGATGTTGAGATCACCTTGAGGTTGAGGTGGTACCTGTTGGTCATTATTTCCCTCGAGGACTCATCCCATTCTTCCAGATGGAGTCTTGAATAGCGGCTCATATGCGGTTCTCATCATCAGATGCAATTCTTGATCGTATTCGTACCGGCTTGGGAATCCAAATCCTCATCGTAAGATTCGATCCAGATGAATTCGCATTTTCTCATCATGCAATTCTTCATCGTATTCGTAACAGTTCGAGTTTTCAATCGATCATACTTGTAGTTGCTGAGCAGCTTCCCACAAACGTATCCAATCTGCATCGAGAAATTCAGCACATATTGCCGTTGTCGCCAAAGGCCGATAGTAGCTCAAAGCCGAAAGTAGCTGTAGTCGAATCTCAGTCTTCAGTCGAGCAACGGTGCCGTTTCTCGAATCAGAACCTTGCTGAACTTCCATCACCTCTCGTAATGTCCTCTATTCGAAACCCTTGAGCCTGTTAGTCATATCCCTCTACTCCTATCCTCCAGCTCCAAAGTTTTCGTAACATACATACCTGCAAATCCATCTCTCTGGTGCAGGCAAGTTTCTGCCATCCACACATCACCGCACATCACCGCACATCACCGAACTCCAACAATCCTCTTGCAGATGCCGAGCCGACCAAGCCTTCGTTGCTTCTTCTAGTCGCCGCCCATGCCGACAGACGATAGGGACTCGGAGATTTGTTGAGCGTTATCTGTCAAGCCGATGGCGAGTATCTCAACGTCGGGGAAGTATTCGGCGGAAGGATTGCTGCGATGTTGACTTGCTGCTCGTCGATTGTTGAATATCGAGCCTGTTGATGCCAGCGGTCGTGGGGTCGGTCGAGTCCGAGCTTGTTGCTCCTAGAGACCTGCAGTTCCTACCGGTTAATACCCTACCATCATCTCGCAATAATCACCAAGAGTTGAGCTGACCTCACCTCGAAGCTGGTAGAGCAACTTTGTGGTGTTTGTTCTCTCATACTGGCCCTTGCGTTGTCGTGATGTTGCTCCTCAGCGATTCGAGTTGGTAACGTTTGTCGAGTCCGAGTTTGTAGCTCCTAAATCCCCAGCATTGTTAGTAATCAGGCTTCCTTCCACCCAAATCTTCTTCCAAAACCCCTTTAGAACTTACTTGCTTCAGCCACCCAACTCAATTCCCCAATATCGTGATGTCGAACCCTCGTTGTTGTGTTGCCATGATGATGTCAAGTTCAAAAGTTCGTGGGGGCGAAGAAGTCCACCCCACCAAACGAGCCCCCTCCGCACGGGCCACAATGCGGCCGGCATGCTGGCACCCACGACATGACAAAGAACCCGGATGAATTGTTGATTTTGCGAATGCGACCGGCGATGAGAAAAATCCGAGATTCTGGGGCCGACAGATGGGGGTTAAGTGCGCTGGTAGTCCCGACGAATTTTGAGGGGAGTGGGATCGCGACACAGTAACTTTCCACAGTGCCAGCATGTGGCTCGCACGCAAGGAGACCTCAAGAATGGGAGTTTGGATGGGTGTTTGTAGGGATCAGTTTTATTAAAAGTAAAGATATTGATTAGGAGTTAATGGCTGCTCACCGTTTCGCATTGGTGGGGATATCGACTTTGGCCAGTACTACTACTCGTAGTCAGAGACCCCATGCTTGCAAGCTTGGCCTTTGGTGATACTCACAAGCAGAGGTTCGAACGTTCTCGAAAGACAGCCAGCCTGGAATATAGATGCAGTATTTAATAATAAGTGACGCTACACTTGCGATAAAGGTACTGGACGCTTATAAGAGACGGAGAGTATCATCCGAGAAAAGGTAATTAGTGCTTGAATTGAACTTACTTGACTTTCAACAAGAATAGCTACTAGCAGTACTTCAGTCGAGACAATCCTGAAGACTCTAAGTAGATCAGCAAATCCCGTCTAAAGGCGCATGTATCATGATAGTTTGATAACTTAATCGTAGCCCAATACATTGTCATAAAAGCTGTTGAGCGTAAAATACAGGCCTAGGGAGTGGATCCAACTCAAAGGACCTGCGCGGCAAATATGCTCCTCCAGTTACAACTCGCTCCGCAAATGCCTTCCACCTGACGTCCAGAACCGAGTATCTCTAAATGCGCATATGCCGATCATAATGGTATCTATCGCTACCATGATGTGGTCAAACCCATACACCGATATCCTGCCCTAAACCTTTCGTCTGCAATCCATCAGCGACAGAGTGAGTGTAAAACAACTTCAGGGCTCACTTTCCAGAAACACAAGGACGAAGCCTCCATGATCAAGCATTTCTAGATGCACCAAAGGCGGATTGATATCTAAGAAGTACTTAAGTAGGTGATAACCACCAATCCCAACA